GGGGGGAGTGGGAGCTCAAACAAAACAATGAGAGGGGGATGTTGAAGCTTCAAATCCAGGCATTTGTTACACACCCTTTGTTACACATGTAGGCTTCTAAGTTCACCTAACATCAAAGATCTTGTCACTTCTGGGGATAAAAATGGTAGGGAGGGGTCCCTTAGACTTACTGCCCCCTCCCCCCTTATGTATATGTGGTTCTTCTTTATTAACCCTTAAAGTCCTAGAAGTGATTTACATGTAACTTCTCCCTATAACATCCAGACACTATCCAACAAACAGGTTATGAGACTACTCAAACTTATCAGTTAGAGGTTGTTATCATGATATGACACCAAATTCTTGTAACTAAATTACAAGGAAATGTTTAACAGCTAGATGGGAGAATTAACAATCAGATCTTGGGAGCTTAAGGGTTCAGGTGAAGGCTTCTTTACCATGTTGTTTTTTCATTTGTTAGTTCTACTTAGGGGGAGTTGCTCACCCATGGAAGATTTTCTGTAATCCAGAATCTCTGGATCATGGTGTGCTGATTGTAGGCTATGGCGTCAGTGAGTATTGCTGTTCTTGTTTCCTTGCTTTGAAACATGTGAGATAGCTCTTTTGGGCAAGTTAAAGGCATGAGCTTATGAACCTTTATCCAACCAGCCATGTTCGAGGTAGAGCTAGATTGGACATAAGGGGAGTGGGCAGGGACAGATGACATGCTCAGCCCAACCCCTCCCCTCTCCTTTCTTCAGACCATCAGTCACCCCTTTGGTACTATTGTTTTGCTCCCCTGCCTTCTACTGCTGTAAAATTCAAAGATTCAAAGATAGCAGCTATGATTTAACCAAGAAAACACTGAGCACTCACATTTCAAGAGCAATCCTGCTCTTTAGACTATAAGTGAAGTTAAGACCATTGTTAGAGGTTTCATTGGTTACCCAAGGATGTGTTAAAAATGGTGCTGTGGGTGAAATGTATTACACTTGAGGTTTTTCATAAGTGAAATGCTTTTATTTTCACAATTATGGGAATCAGAGCCCAGGCCATTGTATTTCAACCTCTGATGCTCTTCCACTGAGCTACAGAGAATCTTATGGTGAGCTAGGACATTAATAGACGTTCCTTTACGTACGTTGTATTGGAAGCATTTTACACACCGTTGGGGTCAGCAATGTGAAAAGTGTCATGCAAGTAATAGAACCAGATAGTTCAAAATTTACTACCTTTTTCTACTTTATTAACCTAAAAATATGACATCTCTTTTTATAGAGAATAGCTGGTTGTGGGGAGATGAACCATACTGGATCATCAAGAACAGGTATAGAATGATAGACTCCATTAAATTTGGTCCTGTAAAATGTACTTTCATGTGCATTAAAACAATTATAATTTGCTTCTTTTGAAATCTCCAAATTAAATTTTTACTCAATTCTGTACACTGTACTTCTAACTTTTTTTTTAAAATTTTGGCTATGAGAATTTGTTGCATTTTAGTCTCTATCCCAAATGTATTTTTTCAATTCTTCTCGTCCCTTCTTATTGTAAGGAAAAAGTTCTTTTTGATCGCTCCTGGAAGTGAAAGGGTTAGAGTTAGTATTCCTAAGGGTTGAAGTGAGATCCAAACAGAATAATCTTTGGTTGTTGGCACTGTTTTATCGGAGCTTATTTTACTGTGTTCTATGAACATTATATGTGGCTTATTAAAACATTTCTTTTTTCATTCTAGTTGGGGTGAAAGCTGGGGCGAACAGGTAAGTTTAATTTTTTTTTCCTGAGAGGAGGCAAGAGAACGACACAGTATTTTTCGTGTCGCTTCCATATCTCGTGACTCTCCACTCGCGTGACACACCACTCGCGTGACTCACCACTCGCGTGACTCACCACTCGCGTGACTCACCACTCGCGTTCGCTTCGCTGTTGCTTCGTGCTTGACGCTTAGCCCGGAGGCTAGCGTGTCTCATGCCACAGGGACTGTTGTGGGGAACTTAACTAACTTAAATCTGCCCATGTCTTTTGCCACAGGGATACTACTTGATATATCGTGGAGATGGCAGCTGTGGTTTGAACACCATGTGTACCTCGGCCGTCGTTGACTGAGCAATTCTCAGGTCAGGTGATATGCTTGTAAATGAAACGTTTTAAACATTCATTGAACATAATGTAGAAATGACGAATTTTTGTAAAATATTAAGCATTTGTTTTCATTATCTCTTTTATTGTAGGTTTTGAATCAAGTCATTTAGTACACTATACCTCTGATACCTGATTTAAATTTAAGCATGTAGAATCAATGTTTTACATTTTTCGTAGCCATGGGCTTTTATTAGTAAAATGTTTTTTTTCTTTAGTTTTTAATTCGTTTTATTGCCTTCCACACAGTTTTCACTTGTATAGTACTTGACTTACTTTTTATCGGAGAAACCAAAACAAACCCTCGTAAAAAGATGTGGAAAGAAACATTTTGAAGTTTTTACTTAATGGTGGATTTGGAATGTTAAAAGATGGAGCTATTGGCCAGCTTAAAATACTGGCAGTGGCTATGTAAGCTTGGTATGGAGGGTCAAATTTTTAAGAAATAGTTTGTTAACGGTTTAATTGACATCGAAACTTAGTAATAAGATTTTTAATGTTCTATTTTCCAACCTTTTTATGTATGTTTTAGCTGAGCTATATGACTGGCTTTGTAGAGAGGGATATAGAATTTGTAGCCTTTGTTATGATATTAAACAGTGGGTTTTGCCAATTAAAACAATGGTGTGTTTGTTTGACTTGAAATAACCTCTTTTTGAAATTGTGAGTACAGTTTAACTTTATTGGATAAAAGAGAGATGAAAATTAACATCAGTATGCATATTATCCATACTATTTTCCATATATGAGGATAATTTGTTTTAATAATCAAGAGCCTCTTAAGTTGATGATCATTTCCTTTTTTGTCACTCTGAGGGTTTAAAGGGTTACCTTAGTGTATGGCTTGCTGTTGATAGTTTTCTTTTTTTGCGAGGATGAGTCGTCTGATGACTTAGTCATGCCATCATCCAATCGGCTGTTGATTGGTCATGACTTCCTCTACGAAAGTAACAACCAACCAATCAGGAATACTTTGGATTGCGTTTGCTGTGACGTCATGAGTGACGTCTTAGATTTGTCGGGCCTAGTCCTTCCACGAAGAAGGAAAGTATTTTAAGATCTGTCTTTGAAGCAATTTTTTTTTATTTGGGAAATGCATTGATATCTAAAGTACGGTCGTTTGAGGTTCATCTTCGTCAAGAGGTATGTCTTCGAGTTTTACTTCTGTTTCATCCGCTTCGGGCTCAGTTAAGGTTTCTGTCATCTTTCTAAACGACATCGGATTCTTTAAAAACCTGTTCCATGAAGAACAAACCCAGACAATTAAATACAACTGAAAATATATCCCAAGGACTTAGAAATCGTTCGGGTTTGACTGTCTGATTGGTATGCCAAAAATATATTTAGACCTCAACTGTTAGGTTGGAGAGATTTTAGGGCAGTTGGAAAGTTTAAAAATCTTAGGAGACTTAAAAGCTGGATTGGAAATTTTTGATACGGGATGTATTTTTTTCATTAAGTCTTATCAAATGGTAGAGTG